TACGGTTATTTTTACGGAGTTTGTCAATAACTTCCGGCAAACAAATGGTCGTGTACCAATCACTTTTCACGGTACAACGATTCTCTAAAGCAATAGTAGCCACGTGTCCAGTTTTATTAAAAAAAGAAGAAAGCGGATGACGCTTAGAGTCACTTTGCACGCACACCACTTTGGTGGTTTGGTGGGCTCGAAAGACCCATACCCTCGATTGCTGGTTTGTTTTGGGATCGTAACTATAAATCCATGTTTTCTCACCTGTTACTACGTCTTACACCAAATTTGACGCCCCTTCGTTGAATTTGGTAAGCATGGCATTGCACCAAGTGACGCGACCCATTTTTTGACCCTCAGTCAAATTGTGTGGGATCTACCGATAGCACAGCTTTTTCACACCCACACGTTTATGTAGTATTGATTGTATTTGACTCATGCCTATGCCTAAAGATGCCCGAATCTCATGGTACGTCACATGTCTGTCTGTTTTGATCATACGGCGCACAGCATCGATGTTTTCGTTGGTTATGACCAACAGCAGTGGATGGGCGATCATCACGAAATTCGTTACTGAGATTCACACGATCGCGTTTGAATTCCACCATGCAAACCAGCTATAAATAGTCGTCTTGCATAGTGCTTCATCGCCAAAAGCAGTTGGAAGCCGAGCGAAGCTCCGCTGAGCTGTTCAATTACACTTAACGTCGTAGAAAAACATACTACGAAAATTTTCACGAGTTAAATCCCATGGTGATGTAGACAATCAATTTCTAAAATGACGCCACAATGTAAAAACAAGTGACAGTGAGATGAAACAAACTGTATTCTACAGCCAAAGAGTTTAATTTTCAAATGTTGTAATTCCTTTTTAAATATTGTTTATGTAAGTGGTCAGTTCCGGAATCTTGTAGTGCGCTCTATGTATTATTTTAATTGCGGCGATTGCTATATTTATGTGACCGCTGACTATATTATTAACTTCAAAATCAAGTAACACTATACTTAGATAGTTTTCCCTAGCCATTGATCCCGCTGAATGTATTCATTCATTGCAAATTCTCAAGCACCCAAGATAACTGATTACGTTTATTCAGCTTGGAACGAGAGTTAATTCTAAATTAGGACCTGTTAATCCATAAATAATGTTTAGAAATTACTCGTGTAAACATTCGCATTTATAAACATTAGTTAGATAATATTCATACAACATATACTCGCTTTTTTATGTAAAGAAGGAGGCAAACGAGCCGACGAGCCACTTGATGGGAGGTGGTCATCGTCGCCCATGGACATTTGTAACATCAGATGAGCTGCCTATGCGTTGCCAGCCTTTGAGAGCCCTGTAAATACGCTTTTTGAAGAACTCCATGTCATAGCGCAAAGGGAACACTTCAGAAGGAAGATCATTCCACATCTTGCAGGTTCGAGGAAGGAACGAACGAGATGTGCGTGTGGTCTTACAATGCCAGGCATCTAAGATGTGGGGATGGACTCTACTCCTTTGGCGGGAGGTACGATGGTAGAAACGAGACAGTGGCACCAGTTCGAAAAGTTCCTCAGAGCACTCCTCATTATAAAGATGGTAGAACACACACAGAGAGCCAACGTCTCTCCGTAACCTAAGGGGCTTCATACCGTCTGTGAGTTTGGGATAATCGATAATACGAACAGCCCTACGTTGGATAGAGTCAAGTGGATCAAGCTAGTATTTGGGAGCTCCTGCCCAGAGATGCGAGCTAGAATACTCCATATGGGGCCGTACTTGTGTTTTATATAACAAAAGTCGGTGACCTGGAGAGAAGTACTGCTTCGCTCTATTGAGCACTCCGAGCTTTTTTGAAGCCAGTTTGGCTTTGCTCTCCAAATGACGCCGGAACTGGACTTTCGTGATGTCGACTCGCAAGTATCCCAATACTCTTTGAGATGGTAAGGGCAGTGTTCTGGAACTTTGGTGCTATTACGAATGGGGATTTTTTACCGGTAAACGCGCACACTTGTGTCTTTGCGGGGTTAAATTTTACTAAATTCTGTTGGCCCCATTCTGAGACCTGCTCCAAAGAAGTGTCGATTTTGAACACAAGTTGCAGTTTGTTTTGTTCCACTTGTTGGTGGGGCATATTTGTGCGACCTGTATAATAGGCATCACCGGTACTGTCATCAGCATAGCAATGAATGCAATGAATGGTTACTAGTTAATAATATATCATTGATATGCAGGATGAACAGAGTTGGTGATAGCACAGATCCTTGCGGAACGCCGGCGTTGATGAGCATGGTGTCCAAGCACAATCTGTCGACAGCGACTTTTGTGCTCCGCTCAGACAGGAAGCTAGCGATCCAAGTGCACAGTCCTTTTGGAAGCCCGTAAGATGGTAGCTTCGACAGAAGTGTCAAGTGCCAGACCCGATCAAAAGCCTTAGCGATGTCTAAGCTCACGGCCATTGCTTCCCCCTTGCTCTCGATGGCAGCTGCCCATTGATGCGTGATATATAAAAGAAGACCACCAGTACCACGACCGCGGCGAATGCCGTACTGGCGATCGTTAATAAGTTGGCGATCCTCGAGGTAATCTAAGAGCTGGTTGTTTACCACACGCTCACGCACACTGTTATCGCTATATTTGGACGGGTCTGTACTGTCACCCTTCTTGGGTATGGGATGAACGCAGGCTATCTTCCACGAAGACGGGATTTTACCTGAGTGGTACTAAAACGAGAAGAGGCGCGTTAAGATCGGAGTCAACTCGGGAGCGCACGTCCTCAGCACAATAGCAGGAACGCCATCGGGTCCACTGCACTTCTTGACGTCGAGGGCAAAAAGAGCACGCCGTACCGCGTTTTGCGTGAAGCGATTTTCGGGCATTGTGTACTTACACCGCGGCATAGAAGGCGGTGAGTTACCCTTGTCGTCAAGAGTTGAGTTCGACGCAAAAAGAGAGCATAGGAGATCAGCTTTCTCTTTAGCGGAATGAGCCAGTGAACCATCAGGCTTGCGTAATGGTGCTAGCGAGACTCGACAGAGGTTTCCCTGAACAGCCTTGGCGAGGGACCAGAAGGCACGGCTATCCGATGGACGGCCAAGTAGTTTTTCGCCAATTTTGCGAGTGTGCGCAAACTTTGCAGCGGCAATTTCCCTTTTGCAGAACCTGGAGGTCGCGTTAAATTTCTGCTTCAATTTGGAAGTTTGTGGGTTCTTGGTGCCTGACGCAACAGTCCAAGCCCGGTAGGCCATGCACTTAGCGTTGCAAGCTTCAGCGCAAGACCTACCAAACCAAGGCTGAAAGCGACTACCAACGCGCACTGCAGAGTTTGGAATATAACATTCCATGCCCAACAGTATCGCCTCGGCAATGGATGCTGCGCAGACGTCCTAATCGTCCGAAGAGAATCTCAATTGCTTCCATGGAAAGGAGGCGTAGAACTCACGCAATCCATCCCAATCAGCTGACCCGTAATGCCAAACACGACGCCTCTCAGGTGGTCGGGGGCTTCTGGCATGGGTAACACTCACCTCAGAATGAATCAGTAGATGATCAGATGTTTCCAAGCAGGCATGGCGGGACATTCGAATGCCGTCTGGGTGAGATGTCAACATTAGGTCCAGCAAACCAGGGGTATGACCTTCAATGTCCGGTACTCTGGTTGGACCATCGACTAATTGTGTGAGGTCATATGCAGCGGCAAAGTCGCGCACAGCTTTCCCTGTATAATCGGTACGGGCTGATCCTAACCACTCCATGTGGTGGGCGTTAAAGTCGCCGAGAATCAACACCTCCACTGAGGGAAGCTGTTGCAGGTTTCGTCGAGTCCCTTTTGGCCGCACCTTAGGTGTCGGTCAGTTTCCGAGTCTCCGCTATGAGACTTGTACAGGCACGCGTAGATATAGGTGTGGCCCCCGTAATCAACACGCGCCCCTTCGAAACTGCCTAGACGGCGACAGCAGATATCATCCCGAACATACATGCACACCCCAGCCCGAGAAACGAACTTGTATTCTAGACTGTATCCGGGGTACATGAGGTACGATACGTCAGGCGGGGTAGATATCTGCGTCTCCGTCAGGAAAAATAAGGCCGGCTTGAACGTCTCGAGATGGTGATGAACGTCATTCAATTAGAGTGAAGTCCCCTGATGTTGCAAAAGTCCACATTTAAAGTGGAACAGAGCGCCGCTGTATAAACGTTTTTCCATTTTTTTTAGCAGCCATAAATAGAAACATGTAAAGGGAGGGTGAAGTGGATTGCCGCAATCTCAACGGTTACTTGGGTAAAAAATAGACCATATTCCACCCTGGAATACCATGTGTAGCGCCTGCCTGTCGTGGGGGACGAAAGGGCCCCCGGTCCTACCTAAATTTGGCTGACGGGTTTCACTCCGGGGTCCCAGTCCGGCACGAAGACCAACTCATAGGCTTTTATCACTGGCGGCAAGACAGCCTCTCTGGCTGGGACAAGCCCGGGTTCGGGTCCTCTACGTACCAGCGGGCGGCCAGCGGACAACCGTTTCACCGGGTCTCCCTGGCCCCCACGTCAAAGCGGTACGCTCAGCGCAGCAGAGCAGGGGTACAGGACCATGCGAGCCGAGAACTGGTGAGACTGCGGCAATCGGGAGGGAGGAGCTGGTACTCGCGCGCACAGTCGGAACACACCCAAAGGTGCTTTGCGACAGCTTCCGACGCGAGGGTGATCGCCAACCAGTTGAGTCCTATGAGGGCTCTGCCACCAAGCTAGGCGATATTTGGATATTACATGAGACCATCGTAAAGCCTCACAACCTGAAATGTTAAGGAATCAGTTGTTCATTTGGCACTACGCAGGAGTCACGTATAGGGAACCGGCTAATAACTCCCAACACACCGGCTAATAACTACCTTCTCGCTTCTTGCCCGTGGACCACCTGGTTAGTTCACCTGGGTGGACAATGGGCAATTATTTCTTCCCATGGTTCACCTATGTCCGCCTTGTTGGACCATCGACAATTTTTACTAATAATATTGTTTCATTTCAGTTTACCGAGGTTCACTCAATCCAGTATATGCCTTATATTAACACAATGAAGTTGTTAACATTACATTTAAGGTATCTACGTAGAAGGCGATATATATCTAGATGGGCCCTTTTCGAACTATTCAATTATTGTTTATATCCGCCATGGCGTGTAACTATAAATAAAGAAGGATGGACCGTAAGGGCTGCCAGATCATTGGGTGGCTATTACCAGCATGCACGCCATTATTTCACATTTTTACGCCACGACTTGTCCAATCATGTATCTGCCGCCGCAAATGATTACGTATGTATACAAATCTACCTTATGCGCAGGCCACACCGCGAACGAAGTTAAGTCATCTTAGCTTAGCTCACGTAGCCGGGGTGTCTTTTCATCCTTTGGTTCACACCGCGAACTGAGCTAACTGAGCTAACTAAACTAACCCAACGATCCCATTAGCTATGTAAAATATGTCGCCCTTCACCACCGCATGTATCACAGACAAATATCTAGTTAGACGCCGCAAGTGTACGTACTTCGCGTGCCCAAACTAAGTGAAATTCACTTACTTGCCGCTGCTACACTTGAGAACACGCTCGATCGTTATCGTAGATAAACACCTGTCGAAAACGTGAAAAATGCGTAATTGTGCCAATATACACTGAAAAAGCACCATAACTTTAAAAACAATTATTTTGGTTTCGTATGAATTTCGAGAAAACAAATATGCAACCGAGTGTATGCCTCATGTTTGTAATACATTGCGGCTTTTACTTGGTGCGATATGTTTATGATCCTTTGTTAATACGCCATGAATACAAGCCACCTAGGTATAGGAGGTCAGAAAAAAGCCCTGTGTACGTGTCTGAACATCTCACACCGGAACTCAAATCTCTCCACGCTGCTGCTCGGCGTGTGACGCGTCAACTAAACTATAAATTTGTTTGGGTGCGCGACGGAAAAGTTTATATCCGCAAAAGCGACAGTTCTGGTTTTATTCACGTCCGCTCTGATGACACCTTAAAATCTTTGTCTTAGTTACTTTTTTCATAAACCATTGACACATTTGTAATTTATCCAAACAAAATTTTTATTATTTTTTTTTTATATTCTTATTGTTTTCATTCTGTTATTTATTTCCATTATAAATTACATTTAATTTTAAATTATAATTCCAATTTTATGAGTAGTTTAAATATTGTTTCTAGTTCTGCATTTAGACCATTAAATGTTTATTACCAGAATGTCAGGGGCTTAAGACTTAAAACTGTATCTCTTTTTAATAACGTAATCTGCAGTTCTTATGATATTGTTGTGCTGACGGAGACGTGGTTGAACTTTCATGATTCTGAACTTTTTGACGATCGTTATGTGGTCTACAGGAGAGACCGAGCGGTTGGTGGCGTTAGTGCGGATGGTTTTCACACGCACAAATCTATAGGCGGTGGTGTTATTATAGCAGTTTCTAGGGATTTGTGTTCTAGGCGTCTTTCCAGCTTTGAATCTAGATGTGACGACCTGTGGATATGCCTGGAGGTTGGAGATCATGACGGTAAGCCAACTAACTTATATCTTTGTGCTGTCTATCTGCCGTCCCCTTTGAAAAAGGAAGTTCTCTTGGAATTTATCAATAATTCTAACAAAGTAATTGAAGGGAATGGGGTTGATAATGTTGCTTTCATGGGAGACTTTAACATGGGTAAGATTCCATGGAGCTGTCTTGATGATCTCTCTACACCTCGTGCAAATTATATAGGGTGGCCGCAGTGGAGATGAAGTAAAGACGAGAAAATATGATGAATAACTATATTAAATTTCCACAAAGGTATTTCTTAAACTAAATAATTTTAAGAACGTCCGAAGTTAGGTACGTTAGGTCTAAAAGTACTTATACGAAAAAGATCTTAACTAAAGGAATTTAGTCTACGTCCGATGTTAGGAACGTTGGGCCGAAAAGTGTCTCATAATTATAATTAAAATGACGAGTTTTGCATCGGTCACGTTGCAATGCACGGGGCGCGCGTTCCGGGGTGCGCGAATGCAAGTGCATTGAACTGACGTTTTAGGTATGTGTGTTATGCAAATCTGGATACATAACATCTCCCTGCCGAAGATGAGCGACTATTTGCCAATGTATAATGCAAATGTGTTGCGTTTTTCTATATCGATGTCAGCTTGTGTAAATGACTCGCATTTCGACGCGGAGTTACGATTTTGTAATTTGTGAGCCATTCTGCGGCGTATGAAATAATAGGTAGCGACCAGTGCAAACGCACTCAATAGTGCAATCGTTTACATAGGAATCTTCGTATGATAATCGAAGTGTTGTCAGTTTCTACTGTAATTGGATCTTGTATTGTCAATTGCTTTTGAATATTTTGTAAATTCGAAGTTCGATGGTGGTAAAATTAAAGTTCGCTAGGTTGTGTTTCTCGGTGAATTTTGGTCATGGAATATTAATTAGTTGAATGGGTGAACGTATCGTGCTTCAATATTTATTATGGTGAACTCTGGAGCCTTTACTTTGCAGTTAATAGGATGTATGCGAGAAAGATTCTTTCAAGTAGTTGGTGTTTCTCTTGGCTGCATAGGAGCTGAACCTTGGTTGGTCTTGGAAAGGATATAGTGTAGTTTTGGCTATCCAGTTCTGTCAAGGCTTCCTTTGAAAGAGTAACTGGTGTGGCTGTACTTGTTCCATCTATGTCTTCTACGTTGCGTGGTCTGATGTCCGATTTTCTGCTCTCATAAGTATTTCTCGTTGACTCTGGGGCATTCTGCCTCTATATACACATACTCCTGGGAGTTGGATGCCATAAAAGGGTAAAGAGGTAGGATAATTTTGTTATTCTTATTAGGAATAGGATTTAGCATGTATAAGTCAAAACAGTCTATGTAGATAATTAGAAATATGTAATAAAAACGAATAAAGTCGTAATAATTCCTAATGTCTAAATAAATTATGTCTCCATGTTGATAATATTTTTTCAAAGTAATCATGAGACTTTGCAACTGTCTGGTGCATGAATTTAGTACTGCTGAAAACTAAAAAAGACGCGCGCGAGCCGCAGAGCGAACAGCAAGTGATTTGTAGTGCTGTTCAAAAAAAAAATCCCAACTCATATATAGCTTTCGATTACAAAAGTCAAATTACCATCATATTAAAAAACAAGTGATAACCCGTGCAATTGTATAACTATTTTCGGTAATATCGATGTGTAAGTGCTTCAATTATTGAATTTAAAAGTGGAAATTTAAAAGTCAACGTCGAAGTGTACGCGCCGCCGCTCAGCTGTTCGGGTGAGTCACCGTTACACCCAGCTGACTGCGCGCCAACGTGCCTTTACTACCCGCTTACAAATTGTAAGCGCCCGTTGACAAAATGAGGAACTGCATGGCTTGCCATAGTCATATCAACATCAGAGATATATTAAAATGCAATAAATGTAGAGGAGATTTCCATTACGCCTGTGTGGGTATACAAAAGGCTACCTTTGTTAATAAAAGTCATGAATTAGAACGTACTTGGACATGTCCCGAATGCTCAATGGTAACAAGGCGGCATCCTAAAAATGATGATACCCCAGTGCGATCACAAAAGCTTGATGATACCAATATGTCAGTAGACGAGCGATTGTGCGAGGGTCATAGTGTATCGGGAGACACTCTAAATACGAACGTGTGTAGTCCTTGTAGTCCTCATCAATGTTTAAAACAACTTACACCTACACTCGAGCAGATAGGAAACCTCTTGGATGAAAAACTTAGTGCCCATACTAAATTCCTTCTGTCGGAAATGGCAGCTTTAAAATCTACGGTTAAAACAGATATTTTATTGGCTTTGAATGAATTTAAATTAGAAATTACAAATGAAACAAAAACGCTATCGCTTGAACAGGAAAAAATAAGGGCGGTAACCATTGACTTACAAATAAATGGACGACGGGTCTAATACAAAAACCACGAAAAAAATGTCCCAAGTCAACCTATTCGAAATTTAAATTGTAATGTCATCGCAGTATCGTGCTGTCAGTAGAACAAATGAAGACTAAAGCGGAGTGTAGCGCTCTGTATACGATTTTAGCGCCTTACAAGTGCGGACACTTTTTAGCGCGGACCCGACGTCCATATAATTGAAAGTCAATGGCGGTAACGGAAGAATTAAACAATAAAATTAGAAAACTAGAATCTGAGAAGAAAGTATTTGAACAACAACTAGCCAACCTACAGGAAAAAATCATAATAACGCCAAATGATTCCTATACCCTCAGTTGTGAATGTGAGGTCACTCGAAAATTTGTTATATATGGACTTGAAGAATACCAACACGAAACTGACTCTGATTTACACGATAGAATAGTAGACCTATTCGGTAATATTTTGAATATTAACCTAATGGGATACATTGAAGAAATACGGCGAATAGGGAGAGTGGGATACCGTAGGCCACTTATGATTGAATTAATCAGTAAAAAAATGATGAAGTATATACTTCAAAATACCCGTCATTTCAGAAATACTGGTATAGACATTTCCAAATTCCTTGACAAGAAATCTGTCCAAGAACGTAAAAAAATGGTTGACATCTTACGCGAAGAACGGAAAAAAGGTAAACATGCGGTTATTCGAAATAATAAATTATATATAGAAGGAAAGGAATACGACCGCCTACGAAAACCACAAGACATACGCCAGTCTTATCCCCAGAGTCACGAATTAAGCACATCTTTTAGCGAAAGGGGTTCTACGTCTCACCAGTCTAATAAAAACAATTCCTTTCGTAAATACCTATAGATTTACGATGATTGTGCAAAACGTCCAAAGTATCAACAATAAGATAAACATATTAGAAAGCTGGCTAAAGGAGCACAATTTCGATGTGATTTGCCTATCGGAAACCTGGATTAAACAGGACCAACATCAGTATGTCCAGGTGGACGGTTATGAATTCGCGGCTTCTTTCAACCGACGGCATCGGGCAGGAGGTGGAGTAGCTATTCTGGCGCGTGAAGGGGTACTATATAGACAACGGACAGATTTCGAGGCACTCTCCATTGAAAGTGTTGTAGAATGTTGCTGTATCGAATTGCCGAATTACAACATCATTATAATTAATGTATATAGGTTAGACCGCAATATTGACATTTTCTTTGACTTTTTGACCATTTTGATGAGCAAAGTTAAACCAATGACTTATAATAAACGTGTAATTGTAGCAGGTGATTTTAATATAAATAATCGGCGAAATTCGGTAATTACAATAAACTATGTAACAAATTCTTGGAATGCAACTTACACCAGACTAT